TTTCAAGGGTGGAATATATTTCTTGCGCGGTTGTTTCCGCTGAGCGCATTCGGGGCAGGCCTGGATAGCCTTAGCGACATCGGCCGTCATACCAGGCCAAAAATAATCTCTCTGGAGCGTGAGCAAGGTTTTCTGCATGTCCAGGTGTAACAATTTCTCAGCGTGCAACACCCGAATCAACTCGTGCTGAAGCACGGCGGGAACCACTAGACGCCAACGGCCCAACAAATCGTCTCTCCACATCAACAGACCGTCCTGGAAAGCTGCCTGCAGTGAGTCGTTCTTGGACGAGGACAAATGCGACCCATTAGCCCGACACCGCAACGAAACCAACGAACCGTCCAATAGTTGCTCGCGTACCCATACCGAGCGCGGCAGGGGCAACGCACTGTCAGCCGGCCCCAGGCTGGCATGCTCCGCAGAATCTGCCACCGCGGACATGACAGGCCGAGGGAGCTGATGGGGATGAGTGCATCGATTAGTGCCTGATGCACACGCGCAAGGGGACCCCTGCGGTAACCTGGAGAGCGTATCCGCATTACTATGCCGAGAACCCTTACGGTAATGTACATCAAAGGAGAATTCCTGCAACGTCTCGAGCCATCGAGACAGCTGGCCAGATGGTTGTTCAATCTTCAAGGAATACTGTAGGGCAGCATGGTCAATACATTTTCTGTCGTACAGGTAAGGACGATATTGGCGAACGAAATGGACAATCGCCAATAGTTCCCTATGCATAACACAGTAGCGACTCTCAGCCGGAGAGAGGACACGGCGACCATACGCAGCAATCCTCTCCACGCTATTTTTGGACTGGGACAAAACGGCGCCAATACCTGTATCGCTGGCATCAGTGTCCAGGATAAACTACTGTAAAGTCAGATACTACTATAGAGTCAGTAGATACTCCTCACTCTATGGTATGTAGGATGTGCAGGTGGGGGGGGTCCACAATTTTCGGAAACCTTTAAAATCAACTATTTACCCCCAACTTTCGATAACTTTTTGTACTTCTGCAAGCCTCTTATTATTTTGTTGTTCGAGAAATTGATAAACGGCCCACCGGGCTTTCACAATAGCTTAGTATTTGTGCATGTATATATTTTTAAGATAAGTTGTGAAATTTATTTTTCACCTGGACAATGCTGAGTACTTCCTGCTAGTATTAATATATATTTCTTATTTACATTATGTTCATTACAATAAAATGTCAAAAAAATCATAACTGATACTTGTTGACTTGTTCTAACCAGTTGACGAGGAGGACTTGTTCGCTTGGTCATGCTGAACTTTAAAAAACCTTGTATTAAACAAATAACCTCGTATATTTGGCCTTGTAATTTTTTTATTCATTTTGGCAAGCAACATTGTTTAAACTTGTCTATATTTTTTTATTAAACAAGAGCCCAATTGTTTGTACTGATATATTTTATTGTCTACTTTATTAATCCCATGTTTGCCTTGCAAAATTTGTTTTTGTTTCAATGGGGGCTGCTACCTGGTTAAACTGTACACTGAAATTTTGTTAATGTTGGACGATATTTACGACAAAGTGCCCCTCTCCCTCCTCGCCTTCCACAACAGATGGGACTGACGAACGACCAGATGAAGATAACCCATAAACACTCTCAATCCCTTCGTTGGAAAGCATTAAAATATATGAAGTCGATTATGGATAAATCTAATATTATTATTAAGCCATTGGTGTATAAAAGCATGGTGAAATTTTTGGGTGTAATTGATTGTTATATTTACCAATCCTTTTTTGTTTGAATGGTCGCATGTTACTTTGTGCTTTCAATACGTCCAACTACCTGACCTCGAGTCACCTTCACTTTGCTCCTCAGGACCTGGTGGCCTGGGTGACGGTGGGCTTCGTGCACATCCCCCACTCCGAGGACGTCCCCAACACGGCCACGTCGGGAAATGCTGTGGGCTTCTTCTTCCGGCCGTTCAACTTCTACGACGAGGACCCATCTGTGGCCTCGCGGGACGTCGTGATCCTGCGGCCAGGGCCCCACAGCTCTGGAAAGCCTGTCGTGTCCTGGTGGACGGAGCAGAGCCCCACTGAGCCCAGCGTCTGCCTGCCCGACATTCAGCCACTAGCTTACAATGGGACGCGCACTCCCGTGTAAATGGCGCAAACACGGACACCACAAGTCTATCTTGCTCATCTAGAGAAACGAGGGTTGTTCTGGAGGAAAAAACTTTATAACCCACACGCATATATTCCAAACTAAATATAATGAATACTATTTTAAATGAAACACTTTACAACCTCTATAGTTCAGAAGGATATACTCTCACAAGATGATAGCTGGTGTTTCAATACGTGTAAACAAAAACCTTACATTCAAAGTTAAAATTCTTACAATGTCAGCATTTTCAAATGTACTGTATTAGTGTTACTGTAACCATGATGCATGTTCTATTCACACGTGTGGACCGGATTAAAAAAAACGTCACAAGACAACTAAAAGTTAACTAGAGTGCTTTTTGGCGTCATCTGGTCCAACCCATATGAGACTAGGCTCGAAGGAAAGCTGTCTCGGGTGTGGACCAATCAACTTCAGGGACAGTGCACATTATCATAGTTATGTTCTTTTGTTTGTATTATGACTGCAGGTATTGCGGTCTATGCAAACATGACTCCTTGCAAAAAGGTGTCAGTTTTGTTGCCAGATAGAAGGGTAAAGAACCAATTATCATATTTTACTGGCAAATGAGGTCCCCATAGTAGTAGAGTGCTTTCAGCTGTAAGAAAATTAAGCAGTATTCACATTAATATTTAACTAATATGTTCAACCTGTCCCGTGCACAAACCAAACGATTATATGTGTCAGATATGCATCGTGTTCAATAAATTGTGCTTTTAACTGCCATTTAACTGTTCTACACTACTAACCATGTGTTGAATGTAGAGTACTTCATTTGATTGCATGTACTTTATGGAATATTAATAAAAGCAAATGTTACCGAATGCTTTTCGTCTGATGTGGCATTGCTATTGTTTACATAAGTGTGTATGTACACAACGTCACACATTGCAGTCCCTTCACATCCAGTATAAGGTATTGTGTGCAACTCACTGCTTTTGGTCAATTAGACTTAAACTTTTTTTCCCACAATTTGTTTTAGTTTATATTTGAGCATGAATATGTCGACTATGTACTTTTTTATATATTCCTCCATTTTGATAAAAAAATATAGAATCTTAACAAGTTTGCATTAAATAATGTGATTATGTTTTGGGCATATTGTAAGTCAAGCTAGCTGTTGATGCCGACAAGTACTGTATTCAAACGTGATTTGATTATGAATATTCATTCCAAGTGGCAGATCTAGTAGGAGGGTTTGGGGTTTCAAGCCTTGCAAAAGTATAAACTAAACAAAAAATCCCACCCATTGATCAATTGGTGCTCCAACATCACAAGGTTATTTACCACCAGTGCCATGACCGCAATTACTGTATAAATGCCACCACAATCATCATCAGTGATTAATTGAATGACCAACCCCATAGACATGACAATATAGAGCAAACGCAGTGTTTCCGTGCTCAAGGTAGCGGCGATGAGGGTTACAATCCAGTGCATGAAATTTCACATTACTATACTGAGGGTGAGTCTTCCTCTCTCCTGCTAAAACCGACTATATTTCCATTTACATTGTTTAAACCTGACCAGATCAAACCAGAACTTAAAACCCATACACCGCAGGAGAGATTGTCGTGGATGATGGCTGATAATTATGAAGAATGCATCGCAAACACTGCGTTTGAGCTAGAAGAGGGTCAAAAAGTCAACAATTATATTCACATATTAATAATTAAATGTTCGATTAAAATATACGCAATACTATTGTAGTGGGTTCTATTCAGACAAACGTCAAGACTTGGAGGCAACACGTTTATGTCTTGAACAACACAACTTCCACTGGATAACTACTTAGGGTGTTGACCACCATGAGCTAACACATAACCACTCATATACGGCGGTAACCACCACAGGTAACTTCGTAACCACTGACGGGATAACTATATTCGGCGGGGACCACCACGGCTATTTCACAGCCACTCGATGGGACGTCTACCCGCTCGGATCCAGACAGCCACGTGCTGTCAGGTCCATGCTGAAGCCCAGAGATCGTAGACGTAGCCCGCTAAATCCATTCCCCGAGATGAGCCCTGAACATATGCGTGACTCGCCTTTTATCGGCCCTGGCGTAGACAGGCTCCCCCTTTGGCCACGCCCCCTTTCCAGATCTTTCTGGTAGAGTCGGGGCTCTGGTCACGCAGCCCGTCACATGCCCCCTGGCCCCCGTTATCCCTCGTCCGGTCACGTACCCTGCTCGAGTTCACCTGGAGTACCATGTCCTCACACGGCCTCTCCCCACTAGTACTCAGACCATGCCCCGAGGGTCCCAACCCCTCACTTATACACGCCAGTGCTCCGGAGTGGTCCCGCACCTGCAGTACCTCCTTTCCGCCAGTGCAACGCTGTAAACACACTATGTACACCACTACATCAACCCCCCCCCCCCCCCATTTGTAGAACTCAGCCATCCGAGCTGACAAAACACATGAGAACCAACGTGCGTGTGCCTCAACAGGAAAAAAAACAGAGAAAATATACAGTGCACGAGCAAGGCACCGCGATAAATACACAATTTCAATAATTTACAGATTTAACCGACATGAAGAGGAAGGTGAAGAGAGGAGAACAAAGAACAGTGAGAAATGTACAATGGCCGGCTCCCACTTTCCCTTCCATCAGCACCCTGAATATCCCGTGCTGTGTGTCACCATGCACGAGCACAAGATGGGCCAGGTTCAGCCAATAGCCCAACTGACCCCTGCGTGTGAGCACTTCACAGCCGGAGCAGGAAAAGGGAGCTGGATGAGGGCTATGTGAAATGCAAAGTCTTTGAACGAGTTCTCGTTGCCAGCCCTTCCAGAGCTTTGGGCTTTGACTCCATGAATAAACTGGGGGAATTAGAAGATGGCCAAAAGGGCGCCCCCCACCCTCCCCCCCTCCGAGGAACGGCAGCACCTGGAGCAGGGCGGGCAGGCGATGGCTGCCTCGCACCTCGCGATCCGCCTGGAGTCGGCGCGGCTGGTGACGCTGGTGATGTCAGGCGCTCCGGTCCTGTGGATGGCACGACGGAACTTCCCTGAGGCAGGACGTCATCGGATGTACACCCCGGCTTGCCGGCACACCTGACACTTAGCCCATAGGTGGTGGAGATGAGGGAACATCGTGAGGCAATATGCACGGCTTAATACACGATGGATGAACGAACCAACACTGGTGACCAAACTGAATTTGTACACACTGTGGTCAATTAGCTTGTACCAATTCGACCGGACCTCGCCACGGCTTGTGCAATTTGGGGGACGTGCCAACTGGAACCTGCGGGCAATGCAGCCAAGCTCTATTGCATGGTGCCCATTTCTTCCCCGACACCCGTTGGCCGACTGCCGCGCAGCCGAATTCTGTTTTGAAGCTTCTCTAAGCATCGAAGAACTAATCACAGATAAAGCTGAGTGAAAGCAGTAGAGAATCATCGGGATATAATCGTCACGGAGCCTTCAGAGCAGACACATCTTTGACAGGACCACGGCAGTACGAGCCCGTGGGCCACCGGTACCGGGTTTACGGGAACTTTGTGCAGTACATGCCCTGGACGTTCGCTTTCAGAATCTCTTACATGGGGTTTCAGATATTTGAGATCAATCTTGATTTGAAGCTTTCGTGACTGCAGGAATCCATACTTTTGGTTCTTTCAGTAAAGTCATGTAGGTATAAAATTAAATAAATCACGACGTTTTGTGCGCAACACAAGCATCCGTCATCAGGTGGGAAAGCATGGTCTGCTACTGAGGCAGACTGTTTATAAAGGTTTGAAATGGGTGTAGCCCAAGAGTCATAAAGAAGTGGCCGGGCTAGTGATGTTAATGTTAGAAATTAGCATGTACTGTAACTGTAAGATAGGAGAGCAGCCTCCTCGACAAGGGCACAGAAGTGGCTATGTTAATGTGAGAGATTAGCATGTTAATGTGAACTCGAAAAGTGGTGCAATCCAAATCAGCCTCCCAGACGAGGGCACGGAAGTGGCTATGTTAATGTGAGAGATTAACATGTTAATGTAAAATCGAAGAGTGGTGCAAACCAAAGGCATGAGTGCAACCCAATAGGTGCAATTCAAAGGGCATGTGAGTATGAGAGTGCAATCCAAAGGACATGTGAGCATGAGAGTGCAATCCAAAGGCATGAGAGTGCAAATGCAAAGGACATGTGAGCATGAGAGATCTAAGATAGAGGCATAGAGAGAGAGACACAGAGAGTCGGAAATAACAGCTGACATAGGCAGGTAAGATGGAATCAAAGTCAGCTAAGACTATACCTGGTTAATAACGTCCTTCCAATGATTGTCCCTATCCTCTCGGATGAAGTTGTGTCTGTGTTTATATATCTGGATGTCTTCATGAAAAATCTCTGAAAATAGCCGGTAGGTTTGCAGAGTACCTCCGTCTTGGAAAAATCTATTTCGTGAGCCCACAGCATTAAAACAATGATTGGCAACAGCAGAGGTATTGGTTCTACCGTGTTTCAGATCTGCCTTGTGTTCACGAACGCGGTCCGAGACATGTCGTTTCATTTGCCCAATGTAACTGCTGCCGCAACCAGAACTCAGTTTGTAGACACCAGGGTATTGCATGTCAGGATTCACATCCTTTACAGATGGAATTAAATCACGGATTTTGTGTACTGTGTTAAAATGAACCTGGAGAATTGTCTATGAGATGGGCCTCCAAGATGTCGTCTCATACTATACTGGCAACGATCCGATCAGGAGCATATTTATAGCCATGGACTCAGGTTGGCACTTTGGTGCCGACAATTTTGAGCTTGTGAAGGGGATCAACTGCCCGCACACTGCCACATACCTGGACACGTACCACTTTGTGAAATCGGAGAAGCCGCTGAAAAATCCGAACTCCATCTGCATTTTCCAGTACAACACAGGAGTGCCATTGCGTCGACACTTGGAGGATGAACACCGGAGAGGCTTCTCGTTCTGTGGTTGCTTGGTCAACTATGTACTCGTGATTAGGAGTGTCAACACAGTGTACAACTACAATTACGTCGTGAACTATATTTTCTACCAGAATGGATTAATTGAAGCAAAGATTCACTCCACTGGGTACCTCGTGGTGACGTATTTCCTTGGGGATGGACTCAAGTATGACAACAAAATATTTGACCACGTCCTTGGCAATGTGCACACGCACATGATCAACTACAAACTGGACATGGATATAGTGGGTGAGTTTATTTTCATCAATATTATCCATGCATGTATTTTTTTACAAAACTGCTCGCGAAGCTTTAATCCATGAATATGTTCATATGTTGAAAGTGATTAAAGGGAATTTACGATAGAACAGCATTGCATTGTATTGTCACTTGTTGTTCTGAACAAATATTCTATTTTCTATAGAGTACTTTAAAATGAGCGGACGCATAATGTAGATAGAGTAAATCTTATCTGCAACCCTCTTATCCGCAAATCCTATTATCAGCAGCCCAACATTAAATTCACACAAACTACTTTTGTACGTCGGTCAACTCTTTAATTTATCTGAACATTTGTACGGAAAATAGGATCTACCCATTAGAGGTTGTGATAAGAAATAATTTCATTATATTCCTGTATTTTCTTTTTTTCAATGGATAAGAGGAACGTGAAAGTGGTTGCTGGCAGGTGCTAAACACATCCTAATATCTACGATGTCCTATGGATGAGAGAATAATGATGATGATGTAAATGCCAACAATGATGACGATTATTTTCATGGTGTTCTAGATGATGATGGATAGTAGGGCATGAAACAAAGCAGTCCAAAATCAAAGTTTGCCAGCAGTTCATGATGTTGCCCATGCACTGTTATCCAACGTGTTTGAAGGCAGTGAAAATGTGTAGGTATTCGAGGAATGTCTGCAGTTGAGGAAGTAATGTGCATAATACAGGGGTTGTGATAAGGGGGTCAATTAATGTGTAATAAAGGACTTTGACGACACACAGCTTGGTCTCTGTCTCTGTCTTTATTCTTGTTATGCCGCTCACACTCCGCCGGTCCCGACCGTGGACCGGCTGTTCCACTGGCACGCCCCGCGCACTCTTTTCGTCAGTTGCACTCCCGCACACCGTTGGCTGACGGTGTGCTTGGAGCCGCCACGTGGCCGATGGCGCTGGAGACCTTCCACGGCTCGACGTGGTCCCACTTCGAGTCTATGCCAACTCCCTCGAGCCTCTTCCGGATCCCCCTTATATTCCCCTCTCTCGTCATCCCGTCTCCACCTTCCACCACGCCCTTTCCGAACCTTCCAGATCACGCCCTTCATTTAGCGCCCCCCCCCGGCTCCACCTAGGCTCCGCCCCTGATCATCCAGGCATCAGTTTGGACCGGAGGTGGGTGGCAGACTTCCCATACGCCCACCTTACTGGGCCCCGCCCCCAATACTCCGGGTCGTCCGATTGGCCCAGAGCTGAGCGGCGAAACCTCGCTTACGCTCGCATTACACGTGTTAACAGGGCAAATGGCAGTATTTATGTATTTTACAAAATTTCAGTATTTATGGATTTCACAAAGCACTTTGGGTGAGTAGTGAGCTTAATTTAATTTAATTATTGCAAGAAAGGTGCTTAAAGCAAAAGTAATGGCTTTTTTACGGTACAAGTCATAGAGATGGACTTCAACTAATTGCAAAACAAGTGATAGCATTAGCCATGGTGATCTCTCGCTCTCTTTCTTGATGTAGTTCGATCTTGTTTCCCCCCAAATGTTTCTAAATTTGCTTTCATATCATGAGATGAAGAATCCATTATCCAATTCTGCAGACGCAGTGGACCCGGTATATTAGAGAGTTGCTAAGAGATTTAGTTTTACAGGCCTTCTCCAAAAAATATATTTCAAGGGCCCTTGTTACCCTTTACGCAGTAGGGGTCGCACTTTCTCATAATCCTGCTATGCCTTTGTCGCCTCAAAGTTAAACTGATCATTTAAATTCTCAGAACTAGAAACGAACTAAATTTCAACTCAGGATCTCAGCAGTGTTGATTCAGTACTTAGTTTTCTGAGCCACCTCAAATGTTATTCTATCCTGAATGCATGTAGTATTTTTTTTAAATAAAAAATATATTTTACCTTTTACACTTACACCTAGTTTCCTCCCAATATATATTAGTCTTCTGTAAAAAACAAATATATTAAGTGGTGAATATTGAACAATAGCACCATGGGTATACATTAACTTAACTTCAGAGTACACGGTATCGCCTCTTCAAACTTAAAAAAGAGATCACCATCACACGTCACTGTTAATACAGTATACTGTATATAGAAGCTTACCGTTTGCACCACAGGCACAAGCAAAAGCTTTAAGACTGTGAACCTGCAGCTCGAAAACACGACCGTCGTTTGGAGCCCAGAGCACACCAAGGTCATGCCCAGCGTGAAGCACGACCTCAAGGAGACAGAGTCGGAGGCAGCCTTCAAGTTCGACGTCAGACTTCCATACCTGGTGTTCGTGAACGAGAACTCCAGAAACAAGTGGTGCGCCCAGCGTGTTTATCGCGTGCAGCTCACGAGCCACGAAAACCCCCTGATGCCAGTGGAGGAGAATCGCGTTGCGTGGAGCAGGTGTAGATATAATAAGTATAACCAGTACAAACAAAGTTTTTCACTATAAATCCTTTATATGCGTGGCGGCTAGAGTCCTCTCGTCCTCTGGCTTGAGATGGCTGCCACCTATGGGTCAGATGATTGTCTGCCAGTATTAAGCAATTTGTAATTAAATATTTAATTTGTTTTCCCTAAACAGTGTAAAATTTTGAAATTTTTTTCACAAGCATTAATTGTTTCGCACAACGAGTCTGTGTGCAAAATGTCAGCTCGATTGGATCATGGAAGTGGGTTAAAAACGACCGAAAGATTTGCACGGTCGTAAGCAAGCAAGCACGCAAGCAAGCAAGCGAACTTAATATAAAGGATTTAAAAAGCAAAGCACAGTTGAGTTATCGTGATCATCAGCCATGACCAATCGACCGCCGAGGTGAAACCCCTATACAGTTTTAGCACTGGTAGATTGCGCACTGCGCAGACAATAGCGGCACTACGGTAACGCCATTGCCTCCTGGCAACAAAGCCATTGGAAGTTTGCAACAAAGCTCATGGTCGCGACTGTATACCGGTAGTGCTCAGCCAATAGTAGCGGCTTAAGGGACTCAGCAATTATGATTCCGCTTCTGGTAGACGCTTGTTAAGGCCCTTCCCATTGTGCAATCCATAGCCTCAGCTGAAACTTTCGCACCTCCTTACAGCCACTGAAAGTATTACGGTAAACAAAGTGCTCCCACTTCAAACATTGTCGTTTCATTGTACTAAAATTCGAATAATTTAAAACGTGATAACATGTGCAATTTTAGTGTGAGTGGTTTATTTTGCAGTGCTTTAGTCAAAGGTAAGTGTTGCATAGTGGATAGTCCTACCATGAAAAAATTAAACGAGTTATGACATGTCACGTGTAAAATATTTTTGAGATAGCCCGCACCTCCATATACCCCGTAGGGTCTTGTTTTGTTTGTAAAAATGATATATGCGGGAAAATACGGTACTCAGATCCGGTGACAATGCATGCCTGTATGAAAATCGGCATCAATTAATCAATTAATTGCCTCCTTTCAAGCAATTACAATTTTTTATGGACGGCTTATTCATTTTATATTTTTGTGTAGGTCAGAAACGCCGAGGTCCCTAAACTGTGGAATCGGCTCACACAAAAAGCAGGCGCCGCGTGTCTCAGGCGCCATTGATGTACTTCTCGACCACGAGTTAAACGAAGTTATTAATAAACCGTTCATCTTCTTGTTTCTTTCGGTAAAGTCACGTAGAAGGGAAGTAATAAATAATAAAAATAAACATAATAAAACAATTCTCACGACGTTTCGGCTACAACGCAAGCAGCCGTCTTCAGGTTAAATCGAAATAAAACCGTTGTTTTAAAAAAAACTTATTTTAAGGAATTTATTTAAGAACAGTTGACTAGAAAGTGATGAAAAGTATACCAAAACCCATTATTAATTTCTCACCTTCTTATGGCAACTTCTATTCTTGGTGACAGTATATTAGTGGAATGGAAGATAAGTACATAAATGAAATTACATGTAATAGCGAGATATAGATAATAAAATATATGTTTGATTATCCCAAATATAATAAAAGCGTAGCAGATTTGTAAAACATGATTTCGAAGGTATTTGTCAAGTCTTTGTAATTGTACATATTTTCTGTATCATTTATGTTTTTATTTCCATATAATCAAGTGGACATGTGCGTTTCAATTGTTTCAAATACGTATTACTTATGTTGTTAAGTTTAAACTTTTGATAAATACAATTGGTCGTCAAGATTTTAAGATGAATGGTGAACTTTGTATTATAATTTCATACTAGGCTTTTTATTATTTATACGTGATATTCCATATCACGCATATTCTAGATTGCCTAGGACCTTACAGCTTACCTTGTTATTGTCAGATAGCACTCCCTTCAATATGTGAGACTTCAGTTGACAAAAGGAACGCCAGAAGCTTTTCATATTATATTTTGTTCCAAATCTTTACAACCTAAATACTAGAATTTTAGCATGTAATAGGTTAGATGATTCCAAACGTGCTACTAACACATGAAGACATCACAAGCAACTAAGTAGCATCATGCCATTCTAAACGCAAATAGAGAAAAATGCGCGCTATATTATTAGAAATGTTATAGTATTTTGTTATGCTATTGAGTAACATTTGTTGATAACTTTCTTTACCTATTCTTGGTCATCGATGAAGATATAAGTGATATTAAAGGAGCGCCCCATGGTTTTATGTTTTAGTTACATATGTTCAAACATATTCTGATCAGCTGGTGACGGCTTAAAGAAAATTATGTTACTTTTTAGTGCACTTTAACATAAAACCGTTGTCTTTAAAAAATAAGATTTTAAGGAGTTTATTTCAAAGTCAGTGATGTGATTGAACACTCTGGTTCCTGTACATAAGCTGATTTCATCACTCCATTTCTGCAGTGAATGTACTATTACAGTCCAGTATATTCGTGTAAGAAGAAATCCTTTTATCTACATCCTTATCTGCAACCGCAATTTTCTCACACATGGTTACCAGAACCTTCCGAGAATCCATGACAATCACGAATAAGGAGGGTCAAGAGCAGTCTAGAGAACAGATTTATAAATGTGTTGTGCCGTAGAACCACGCGGAGATGAGGAATACTATGAGGGCTGTTGCCGTTTATTAAAAACTGTTGCACTCAACACTTTAAACTCACACCAGAGGTAGGTACTCTCTATCTGGGTCCTTCACCCCGGACACTGAACAACATCTGGTCCTGCCCTCGGCTATCCGTTAGGGCTCTCTCACTCGTCTGCCCAGAGCGGGGGTTCATCCAACACCGTCCAGCGATGAGAGAAACCCTCTCTCGGCCGATCCTTATTGAATGCTCGGGACCCAACTCTCGGCGAATCCCTTGGCTCTCCCACTTGTCTGTCCTCTTCCAGCCGCTTCTCACTCTGGCTCCCTACAACTACCACGCCTTCGTCACGGGATCCCCTTAAGTACCCCATTTGGTAGCTCCTCCCTCTAGCTCGGACTCGCCTTTGTTCCAAAGGTACCTCTTACACCTCCCGTGACATTGTCATCCTTGACTGTGAACCCGCTCGCACCTCCTCTATTCACCCCTCACTGGTTACTCAATACTCCTCTACACATGTGTAGTGTGTTGTACGGAGGCACACACTGGAGTTTGAGGCAACATGTTTATTACAACACCCCAACAGGGTTGCTACATAAACGTATACTGGTTCCACATCGAGGTGATAACTAGACGGTTAACTAGACCATAACAAAGGGTAACTACATAACCGGGTCAGGCAGTGTGTTAGTGTTTTACTGACTGAGCCACGATGCCGAGCATAACATCGAAGACCGAAGACCAAGGACCGAGGATTGAAGAGACAGCACCGACGGTTCCATTTCAACAGAGTGCCAAAACCCTCTTGGGACTGCCCCTTTATGCTCCTGAGCGTGGCCTGGCTCCGCCCTCAGCCATGGCCCCTTCTAGATCCTACTAGATTCCTCTGGCCCATATCATGTCTCCCTCGAGCCCCCTTTCAGGCCCCCTTGCTACCCTGCCCGGTCACGTGCCCTATCGGGTTCACACAGAGTATCACGTCCTCACTTGCTCTCTCTCCAAACATCACCAGAACTATGCTCCCTAGGGCCCGCTTCCATGCCATATCCACTCTGGTGCCAGTCTCAAGACGTACAATTCCACTCTTGTGACAGTAGCTAGCGCTAAACACCATAGTGACTCCATATAAGTCACTACACATGCATCAGATGATGTGTTTAAGTATATGTTTAACACTCATATATTGTGTCATCAGCAAATCAGAGGTCTGGTTAATCTTATCACCATTTAAATGTATGCCTATGTTTCTCTGATGAAATAAGCTCATGTACAGGAGCTACAGTAGATGGGTTATCCCATCGCGAGAACATAAGAGAGTGGGTAGATGGGGGCTGATTATGGTAGTTGACGTGTAAGGTATGTCCGTAGAGGCTGTGACTACTGATGTTCCTTCAACGTTGCTCCTGTAATCACCATTGTTTGCATACCTCTCATTTCTGACAAAGGTATCAGGTAGCGGTGCAAAATGGAAGGAGACAGAGCTGCACTGCAGCAGTATCTACAATCAACATGACTCGTTGGATCCTGCCGTTTACTTTCAGGACTTCATAAATGCCAATGAGAACATTGTCAATCAGTTTGCTTCTATTAGATTTAGATTCTTATTTAAATTACCTTCACAAACACATCTCATTTTCATTGGCAGCTTGTACCCACCCACACTTTACACCACCACACGTGAACTGCTGCTGATCGATTGTGTTTTTCCCATTTATACGTCTGGGCGGACAGATTCGGGGTTTTAAGAAAGGTGAAACATGACCAAAAAATGTCACGTAAAACTGAAATGTAGCAATGCAATGGAGACTTTGTGCAATCAGCTCGGATTGGCTTTGTACAGCGCGAAAGAAGTTCAAGTCTATAGAGTTGTGCTATGGCTGTGGCTGTGCCGCTGGGCAGGACCTGGTGGCCTGGGTGACGGTGGGCTTCGTGCACATCCCCCACTCGGAGGACGTCCCCAACACAGCCACCGCCTGCAACGGCGCGGGCTTCTTCTTCCGACCATTCAACTTCTACGATGAGGACCCATGAGTGGCCTCGCGGGACGTCGTGATCCTGCGGCCAGGGCCCCCCGGCTCGGGAGAGACACGCGTGTCCTGGTGGACGGAGCAGAGCCCCATTGAGCCCAGCATCTGCTTGCCCGACATTCAGCCACTCGCCTACAACATGACGCTCGGTCCCGTGTAGAGCGCACAGCAACTCTGCGGTGATTCGCAGATGGTTTCTATAACAACAAAAACTGTTCATTAGAAAACATGAATCTGCAGTGTCGATGAAAGAGCAGATTATTGTGAAATAAAAACGAGGTATCTTCAAGCTCAAAAAAACTAAATGTTTCTGAGCAGCCATCGTATCCTTTGGCAGCCCTAGTGCCAGATGTGGAAATTGTGAACTGACATCGTTTGAGTTGAGTCCACTCACCACAGTGCCATCTACTGGGAAAAAGAGGTGTTGGTGATGAGTTAATTCATTTTAGAGATCTAATAGTACAGTTTTTGATGCCCACTCCGCCTGGATTCACGTTATGCTCGAGCGTGCAGACCCGGAAGACTCCTGCAAAGGTCGAGTCTATAAGTGTAATAAAAGACTTCCATGGCGATGCTCGTTCGAGTGATTCTTTTATTAACGGTAGTACAGCACGGCTTCGCTCCTTCCCCCTCCGGTATTTTTCCTCTTCCAACCCCGTAGACGAGGCGTCCCTCCCCAAGCTCCCACGAGGCTCACTCCACTCTCCCGACCTCGCCGCTGGCTGACGGCGCGCTGGGAGTGGAGGTGAGCTCCGAGGGAGGATCCGCCACGTGGCCCATGGCGAGGAGGAGATGGGCAGCGACGCGGTCCGGAATCCAGGCTCCCCACACCGACCTCGAGTTCTTCCCCGATTTCCCTTATATCCTACTCGGCGGAGCTAAGCCCCGTCTCTGGCCACGCCCCCTCGGGGAACCTCGATAGTTCTCAAACCTCTCTCAGCAACCCCGCCCGCTAAGACACCTATTAGCAACATCAGTAAAGATGAGCGCTTTGAGCTTTCTCAATGAAAAAAGAGAGATGACATCATCATCCTCTCAGCCAACAAGGGCAATGCCACAGTCATCATGGACAAAACCACATACAATAACACAATTCAGGACCTACTTAATGATGGTAGCTATACCAAAATTAAAAGAGATCCACCAACCGCCTCGTTACAAAAACCAACAATATCATCACTGATTCGACATCTTTGATTGAACAAACCAAGCGGTTTTCCTTAAAAACATCTGCTGCTAGACCACCCAGATTGAATGGCTTGCCAAAAATCCGTAAATAAGGGACACCCCTTCTTCCAATCGTCTCCACCATTGACTCACCCACCTACAAACTGGCCTGATTTCTGTCTGAGACCTCGTTAATTAAGGACATCTCACTATCTCCAGGTGATTTGCTCGTTAGTTTCGATGTGGTCTCATTGTTTATCAAAGTTCCTGTGATTGACACCATTGCAATTGTAGTGAGTCCAACTGAGTCGGAGACGTTATCTTGGGAGCAACACTATTTATTCCGCAACTGAACACAACGTTACAAAATGTACACTCGGGTCTCGAATGCCATTCTAACCCCGCTACGGCAGAACTAGACACGGTTCGCTATTCCGGCCCGGACCACAAGCTGGGTCCCAGACCACGTGGCTAGAGGCTTCTTCTCCCCGATGTGGATCTTCTTCACACCAGCACACGAAGAACCTCGAGCTACTCACGGGGCCCCCGTTATATGCCCCTGGGCTGGGGCTGGCTCCGCCCATCGCCCCGCCCACCTTCCAGATCTCTCGAGCTCTTTCTCGAAGGTTCCCGAAAGCTCTTTTAGACCACGTGACCACCCAGTGGCCCCCGTCCACCGGTGGCCCCTCCAATATCATCTGGTCACGTGTCAGCAGGTAAACCAGCATATCATGCCCCAACGTAACCCGGGCTGGCTGACGCTCCCTCTCGCTCTCTCACCGGGAGCCCACACCACACATTGCTCGTGGTGCCTCCGCGGTGACCAGTGCTCACACAAGCACCACTAGGGCTGGTACTACACCCCGTAACCGGGCTGCACATAATGACAACATATTATCCACCATGGCTTCGTAAGCCCGGCACCACACAGTGACAATCACAGTCACTACACAATCATTGAAGATTTGGTCCAACAAGGAATGCGTGCTGATGTACCGGCCCTGGTGAGACACTGCCTCACCAATACTTACTTCACCTGGAATGGAACATTCTACAAACAAGTTGAAGGTACCCCAATGGGTTCTCCCTTATCTAGAGTTGCAGCCAATGTTTTCATGTAAAATTTTGAGACATTCCATCCAGGCATCCACTCTACGTCCGTATTTGTGGAAGAGGTACGTAGATGACACATTCGTCATTTGGCCACATGGCTGGCCAGCTCTGAACCAATTCCTCAACCACATCAATTCTTCCATACACCCAGCCATCAAATTCACCATGAAGGTGGAAAAGGATGTTAAGTTACCATTCTTGGAAGTTTTAATTGAAAAGAGACCAGATGGCTCAATGGGACACTGTCTACAGGAAAGCCACCCGTACGGAAGCCTACCTAAAACCTGACTCCCACCACCGTACATCCCAGCAGAGTTCCTTCATAAAAACGCTACACCACAGAGCTCATTGTATCTCTGACCATGAACACCTAACCAGTGAACTCAAACATGTACACCAAGCTCTCAAGGCGAATAAATATTCTGACTACACAATCCGCAAAGCCATCACCACAACCGTGAGGAAGGAGCCATCTGAAGGTCCAATCAAAACATCACCTTGCCTTACATAGCAGGGATACCCAAAACGATTTCCCAAATCTTGAACAAACACAAGATCCAGGTCCGATTTAACACAACGCATAAAATTCGTGATATGATCCCATCTGTGAAGGACAAGATTCCTGACATGCAACATCCCGGTGTCTACAAACTAAACAGTATCTGCGGCAGCAGATCCATTGGGGAAACTAAACGACATATCTCGGACAGTGTTCGTGAACACAAGGCATTGCAAGCCGACTGGCTATCAACAAAGATTCGTTCACGAAGCCATCCATATATTCTTAGGTTTTTTCCGGCAAAGTCACGTAGGTAAAAAATAAAATTAATAAAAGTAAAATAAAAATAAAATAAAAATCACGACGTTTCAGAGGCAACACAAGCTTCCGTCTTCAGGTGGAACTGTCACAGCACGATAGCTGTATGAAGTGAGAGAAATTCCAAGAAAACAGTATTTGTATATATACTGGTTGAGGGTGGGAGGAGCCAATGTAGTAATCACCACAAATGCAACTCAATTTGTAGACTCCAGGATACTGTAAGTCAGGAACGACATCCTTCACAGATGGAATCAGATCACGAATTTTATGCACTGTACTGAATCGGACTTGGATCTTATGTTTGTTTAGAATTTTGGAGATCTTTTTGGTCACGCCTGCTATGTATGGTAACGTGATAGTTTTGGTCGGAGTTTCATGTGGCTGTTTCTGTGTGGTGGGAGAAACAGCTTGGCGGATAGTGCGGTCAGAGTATCCGTTCATCCTGAGGGACCGATGTACATGTTTTAATTCACCGGCCAGGTGGTGTTGGTCAGAAATGCCATGGGCTCTGTGGTATAGCGTTTTGATGAGAGAATTATTTTGAGATGGGTGGTGGTGGGAATCCGGTTTCAAGTAGGAATCTGTGTGGGTGGCTTTCCTGTATTGTGTTGCCTCCGAAACGTCGTGATTTTTATTTTATTTTACTTTTATTAATTTTAATGTTTTACCTACGTGACTTTACCGAAAAAACCTAAGAATATGAATCCTTGCAGTCACGAAGGCTTCAAATCTAGAATAAAGACAATGCAAACATGACTGGGTGTAGCCCAAGGGTCAGGTATAAAATAAAAGAAATCACGACGTTTCGGGCGCAACATAAGCGTCCACCCATTTCAAACCTTTTTAAACAGTCTGCCTCAGCAGCAGACCATGTTTTCTTCCCACCTGATGATGATTGCTTGTGTTGCGCCCGAAACGTCGTGACTTATTTTATTTTATACCTACGTGACTTTACCGAAAGAATCTAAGAGTATAAAATAAAAAATATTTTATTTAGTTTATGTTTCTACCTACGTGACTTTACCGAAAAATAATTACTTTATTTAATAATTACTTCAAAGTAATAACTTTTTCTTTTACTTTTTTATATAAAATTTTCTATCGACGTGACTTTTCCGAAAGAACCAAGAATAAGAAATCTTCACCTCGATGCGGGATGGGGGTGGTGTGACTGCGTTCTGACGTCACGCCGTGGATGTGAACATTTTGCTGAATGCGCGAACGCTCGGCGCACTGCGAGTGAGTTGGGGCAAGCGCGTGGACCAAAACAAAATCCGACTCGGGTGAGCAGCAATCGCTCGCACTCACACACACCGACCTGACAGTCACAGAGTGTAATAACTATAGATGATCGTCTCCAGGGAGAGTATAATAGCGTTTGATGTTTACGACGTGAATTATATGGTGGGGGGGGGGTTTGATTTGTTTTATCACCGTGTGTAAAATATGTTTATTTAATATTCCGTTCATTCCACGTGACGCGTCGCGAGATCATTGGGTGGAAGTCCGCGTGGATCGATGATGATGATGGTAACCACGTTTGCGTACCAGGTTTCCATATCAATTGTAGCAGCTAACATCTGAGGCAAGAGCTATTTAAATTGGTTCAACTTCCCCCCACCCAACCCCCTCGCCGCCAAACCCCTACTTTTATTCACCAACATGTACTGCGCCAGCATGGTGAAGTATGGTCAAACAACCCCGCATGACTGACGCGTCGTGCGGTTGGCCGTCACTCGGCAAATAATACAATTCAAAAGATTACTCGTGTGAGAGGATGTGCTTTGAATTAGTCGCAGTGGCGTTTCGAATGGAAGGGGCTTGTTTGTGTCGCTGTTGCTGCTGCAGGGAGCTAAACACACAAGTCGTGTGCTGTGTGGATGTATTTGTAAACAGAGCGGGGC